CAGCTGGTTTTGGTTGTCAGCAGCAAAACTGGTTGATCCACTCTGAGAAGGTGCTATTTAAGAGACTGAGCTGAAAACAGCACCTCAGACTGAGGAAGTCTCTTGGATGAGAGACGAAACGTTTCTAGATTTCTTTTGCTTTGTTTTGCTTTTGTTTTTTTGAATGTCCAGAGGACCAGATTGAACTTTTTGGATTTCTCACCAAGTTTGTGTAAATTCAGCTGTGGGTTTTAAAGACATTTTAACTTTAATGCACTTTAATACAGAGCATCAGGTCGGCACTATTTGTGTTTATAGAGAAATAAAAAACATCACCACTATAATTTTTTTACTTGTGTTCAACACTCCTCATCTAAATGATGTTTCTCATGAAGATTGAGGACAATAAGGTGTGGGGTTTTAAAGACATTTCAACTTTAATGCACCTGAACACACAGCGTCTCTTACACCTGCAGCGTCTCACAGCGTCAAAGTTACTGCTAAGCTAGCATGCTATATGTAGCGCACTTAAAGTGGACCAGTAGGAAACAGGCACTAACATCTACTAGGTTCCACCAAGAGATGATGATTTCACACCAACCGAATACCGAACTAATTATTTTATTGCTTCTCCACAAAGCATTTAAAACTACCTTTTTACAAATGTAGGAAAAATAAAATACAAACAAAATTAAAGCTCTTTTCTTTTGTATGAAAAATAAATAAATAAAAATAAATTAAGTTCTTTAGCAATGTTGCTATCTCAGGTAGTGTTGTGTATGGAATCTTATCTGTAACCCAAGATGGGTTTTCCGGATTGTGAATGTTCTTCTGTGAAAGGATGTCCCGGCTGGCCACACCGTTTACACCTGTCCACAGTTCACATGGCCATCACCATCAAAGAATCCAAAGTCTCTATAAAACCAATCTGCATAAAGTGCATAAAGTAAATCACTCTGTTCCCGTTCAATTATGAGATTCCATGTCATTTCTCAAGAATACAAATCATTCACATATTTCTCCTTTTAGTTTTTAGCTTAATCACCTTAAGTTTATGATGAACTACTATGAAATGCAATAAACAGTAGTTAACTGTTAGTATTTTTAGTGTTAAGCCAACAAAATACATTGGCAACTTAAATATAAAGTGCATAACTTGTAAGTTAATCAAAATCAATGGTAAACTACATAACATATTAGGGATATTAAATATTTACCTTTCTTTTGCTTTTAAAATGTTGATTAATGAATTTATAACACTTCAAAATGTATTATATTAACCGAAAACAACTTGTAGTAGCTTTAACATGGCTTACTATGAACTGTATGTATTTTTAATGAACCAATATGATTTAGAATACAAAAAGCAAATTCTTTGTCATTGTAGAGCTAATTCTAACCTTGTGAAATTATACAGGCCTTTAGAATTAGCACCTGTGGTTAGTGCTAGCATTATCTCGGTTATCATTTTAATTTCTGTCAGTACAATGATGTAAAACACACCAAAGGAATTAAAACATTAGGACAAAGTCCAACAAACTCCTGATTGGTTTATTTAGAGACATATTTCAGTATCTGGCAGTTTAATAACTTATCTATACATTAGCCGCAAGCTAAATGAGCTCAACTGATTTATTCACTCACTGGGATTTCCACAGATAATTCTCAATGAGTGGTCACTTCTGTCACTCATAGACAGGTTGTAAGGTCCACAGTTTGGTCAGTGAGTGCATGTGTAAAGAGCATGCCTCAGAATATAGGGAAATATGACCAAACCACGTTGGTTAAATTCAACTCAGCAAAGACTGAGTGCCCTCTGCTGAACCCTCCCGGTATCACAACCTAAATTGCATGTATGGACTTAGTAACCGGGCAGCACGGTGGCACAACTGGTAGAGCTGCTGCCTCTCAGCGAGCAGGTCCTTGGTTCAAAACCCGGTCCGGGGCCTTCTGGGTGGAGTTTGCATGTTCTCTCCGTGCATGCATGGGTTTTCTCCGGGTACTCCGGTTTCCTCCCACAGACCAAAAACATGCATGTTAGGCTGATTGGTAACTCCAAATTGTCCCTAGGTGTGAGTGAGAGAGTGAATGGTTGTTTGTCTCGTTTGTCTCTATGTGGCCCTGTGATGGACTTGCGACCTGTCCAGGGTGTACCCCGCCCCTCGCACAGTGATTGCTGGACATGGGCACCAGCGACCCCCGTGACCCAAAATGGAATAAGCGGGTAAAGATAATGGATGGATGGACTTAGTAACCCAATGTTTCATGTGGGTTACGTAGCGCTCCTCTCAAGAATCCTCCTAACCATGTATGTATGTTTGTGATCAACCCTCCAGTCAACAATGGCCTGCACTAAGCTTGCTAAACTGGCAAGCAAGCAACACAGAGGTGTCTCCATCTCCTCCACCTGTGTGCGTTTTCGGCTGAGGCAGGAGACTCAGAGCAGAAACGGTGCAGGCAGCAGGCAGCTGTGTTTAGAGTTGGAGGTAACCAGGAAAACCTGGAGTGGATTTTTAGTGGCTTGAGTATTGTCCTATTAAGTGGAATGGATTTGTTCACGAAGAAAGAGAAACTGCGCCGACTGAACTAATGTTTCATTGTAAAAGTGTGTGTGTGTGTGGGGGTGGGTGGGGGGCAAAATGAACTTTTTTTAAAAATTCAAATTCTATTCAAATTCAATTCAAAAATACTTTATTATTCCCAAAGAGAAATTATTTGATGTTGTAACTCGTTATCCCCATTTTGTTAAGAGATCCAACATTTTTCAGTCAGGTCATCTGGACAGTTTCTTTTTTTGTGCTGAAACATTTCGCCTTCGGTCTGGAAGGCTTCATCAGTCAAGGAAACACACAACAAAACAGATTCTTCCCCCAACAGCTTACTCCAATGTGGAACGAACCAGTTCAGCTTGTGATAAGATGGTCTCTTTGGTACGCC